TAACGAAATAGAGCTTAATTGACTATGGTGCTCCCGGCTCATGTAAAGTGGTACCCCACTTGAGTACCTTGCGGCTCATTGATCCTTGCCCTTCTTAGGGGCTTGGACCTTCCCTTCGGGATGGAAGGGGGGGGGGGGTGTGGTAGAGGTACCCATACCAAGCTGTTAGACTATGGTGTTTCGCTCTGGCATCCCGAAGCATGTGTTGCACCCAAGACTTGGGATTTAGAGGGTCCCATGATCAAGTGGTACCAAGGGATGTTAGGAACTTGGAGGCTTGGTGTGTTTGGCTGCTTGTGCCTGCGGGGAGTGTAATTGAACCTTAAGTCCAGTCCAATTTAACCCAGGGAGGGGGATTGGGAGAGATTTGGGAATCCATGGATGGATGGCTAACGCTCCGTTGCTCGTGCAGTGAGTAGCTGAAATTAAGTAGGACTAAGTAGGAGCTGGTACCATAGGCGGGAACCTTGGCGAGAGAACTTAGCTAAAGCTAAGGCAGTGTTGGTTAGATAAACGAAGTAAGCTGGCAAATTGGAAAGGAAAAATTTGTGGTTTATTGTAGTGCACATAAATTTGGAGCCGAACTCCAAGCCCGTTGCGCTACGAAACGAGGGTCTAGTACATTCCCATAAGCACCAGCTCCCTATATCCAACACCTGCATGCAAAATGGTGTCAAACAGAGTCTGGCACAGTTTTGGCATACAAGTGGCTGGAGGGTACCCCACTAAGTATAGCACTGTGGAGCTTGGGCTTAGAACCAAGCCAGATGCAGAACAAGGAGCGACATAGCCCAACAGGAGCCAAACTAATGTCTCAGGTGGTCGAACATGCATTCCAACTACTATCCCTACTATACATTTGAAAAACACATAGGGTTCCTACCTTATATTATCCGATTTAAGTACACGGTCATTGACCAGCTTCTCAACTAGCTCAAGTGGGAACAATAAAGGGAATCAATTGTACCGACCTTCTGCCATCATGGCAGTAAAGAAAGAGTGTCCGTAAGGACTGGCTGACAAGTATCTTTCGATACCTGAAGTCACATTCGCGACACTCTCTCCCCCTTGGGGAAGATCGACATCCTCGTCAATGCATACCCGAGTCTAGCAAACCGTCAAGGAAACAACTCCGAAAGTTAATGAAAAGCACACTATGTGGGAAATGCACTGACTTAAATGAGTTATGGAACGACCTCTCCTCTACGTCCAAAGACATTAGGACTCAAACACCCTCCAGCCATCACTGACAAGGAAATGACCAATAGAGTTTGCCACCCTTGCTGCTCCGAGTACCACTCGGCTTACAAAGGAATGATACATCCCTGCCCGCAGGGACATAGGGAGAAGGCCAGAGGCCCAACTTCCCCTGAGCAAGAAATCAACCCCATCGGGAAGATTTAGACAACTATTATAAATTGGCAGATTAAGTTGTTTACACAACCACGCCTCTTTGCGAAAAAATGAGTCATCGAGAGAACTTGTGATTAGTCTATAATAGTTATCCCCATGGTTATGGATTGAACTCATGCATGGAAGTGTTGAAGTCAACTTGCCAATACTGACCCAAGTACTAATGAACGAAAGGAACGATACTTTGATTTATAGAAATATATTACTTTATTAATTTGCAAAATTTATTACAAAGTTTACAAAAGCTAGTCTTTATTACTATTCTCATACTCCATGACAAGCTCACGAACATGTTTAAGATTCTTAAAAGGTTCCCAAGTTTATTCACAAGTTATGTAACCTTTCCACTTAACTAGATATTCCTTGGAATGACCACCACGAGCTTTGCGAGACAAGAGAATTGTCTCGACCTCATACTCCATGTCACCATTGACAACTTCCGGAAGGGGACAAATGTCCACAGAGCAATCCTCATCAACACGATATGGTGCCAGTAAACTGACATAAAACACATCATGGACATGGGACAACTCATCTGGAAGATCCAACTTATAAGATACATCACCAATTCGCTTCACCACCCGAAAGGGTCCAACATATCTCGGCAACAGCTTCCGAGATAACCATCCCTTAATGTTCAAGTTCCGGGAAAATAGCTATACCTAATTCCCACTTGATAGAATACATCCCGATGATGCTAATCCTTATCATGTCAATACCTATCCTAAGCTTTGCCCATCGCCTCAATAGCCCTAGACCAACCTTGGCGTAGCTGCTCTGCATAAGTCTCAACAACTAGGACCAACACTTTGGACATTGGTTTCGGTACAATAATCTGTTGAGGAACCCCATGAGCATTCCCTTGCAGCATCTTCTATGGAGAACAGCCTATAGCAATGTGAAATGTGTTGTTATAACAAATTTTTGCTGTGTCTAAATGCTCAACCCAATCACGTTGGACTGCCGCGACATAATACCACAGATAATCCTCAACTTGAGCATTCATGCATTTGATCTGCCCATCAGTTTGAGGATGATAAGCCGTACTAAACTTCAACTTGGTACCAAACAATTGGAACAATGTGCCCCAAAACGTCCCCGTAAACCTCGAATCTCTATCCGAGATCATCTCTTCAGAAAGACCACAAACCCGCACTACTTCATGGAAAAAGAGCTTTGCTGCTTGTTTTGCATTTACTGTTCCCACAGTTGGAATGAAGTGTGCAATCTTTGATAACTGATCCACAACCACCATCAAAGTATCATAACCCTTAGACTTCGGCAAGCAAGTGACAAAATCAAGTGTCACATTCTGAAATGGCTATGTCGGTGCTGGAATCCACTGCAACTTCCTAGCCTGCTTCTCAGTTCTATGCTTACATTGCTGGCATATAAGGCATGAACGGACATAGTCTGCTACATCACCTTCCATACCAAACCAGAAAAATCCCTTTTTCAACGAAGCTAGAGTCTTTCGTTGTTCACCATGTCCCGCTACTGGAACATCTTGATATTCCCTCAAAAATAACTGTTGCAAATCCTTAGAGGGAAGATACAATCTTTCTTGCTTATAGAATATAAGCCCATCCTAAATTGAGAAGTGAAGCTTTGCATTGGTGCGGTTAGCAACTTTCACTGCTTCGCTACCAGGGTTCTGTTTCAACAACCCTGCACGGCATAAGATTGCCTTCGCCAATGGATCACTTCCATACGAAGCCCTAACATCCTCCAACCAGTCCGAACTGATTGCCAATATTGCCCGGAACTGAGTTTGACGACTCAATGCATCTAGGACAATATTGTCTTTACTAGGTCTATATATGATTTCAATATCATATCTAGCAAGCTTCTCTTACCAACAAGCCTGCTTCGGCGTAAGCTTAGGCTGCGTAGCAAAGTAGCTTAGTGTGTTATTATCTATATAAACTTTGGTGTGTCCACCCAAGTAGTATCTCCAGTGTTCTAAGGCCAACACTATAGCAAACATCTCTTTCTCATGCATTGGCCATCTTCGTTGAGTTTCATCCAATTTCTTGGAATAAAATACAACAGGATAACCATGTCGCCTTAGCGTAACACCAACCGCTTTGTCACAATCTTGCTGCAATATAGCACCAATAGCATAGCCAGATGCATCACAATACACTTCAAAGGGTTTATCAAAATCTAGGATCCTAAGAACAAGAACCGAAGTCAAGATCTCCTTCAACCGTACAAAAGCACATTGGCAAGCTAGTGTCCAATGAAATGGTATATTACTCTTTATCAACTCAGTCAACAGAAGAGCAATTTTTGCAAAATTCCGGACAAACTTGCGATAGTATCCCACCAAACCGAGAAAGAAATGAATATTTGATACAGTGGTCGGAACTTCCCAGGATTTCACTACTTCCACCTTCTTTGGATCAACCTCAATTACGCCACCACCAACTATATGTCCGAGAAAGTTTACACGCAATTGTCCAAAAGCACATTTACTTTGCTTAGCATATAATTTGTGTTTGCACAATTTCTGAAACACCAGCTCCAAGTGTTTCAAATGATCTTCCAATGTTTCACTGAAGATTAGAACATCGTTGATGTATAGGACAACAAATATGTCCAAATAATCTCCAAATATTTTATCCATCATAGTGCTGAACATTGCCAGAGCATTGCATAACCCGAATGGCATGACAAGGAACTCATAAAATCCATACCAAGTTTTAAAGGCTGTTTTCTCCACGTCCTGATCCGCCACCCATATTTGATGATACCCAGACTGCAAATCAAGTTGCGTAAAATACTTAGCCTTTAAGAGTTGGTCAAACAAGTCATCAATGCGAGGCAAAGGATAACTAGTCTTGACCGTGATCTTGTTGAGTGCCCAATAGTTGATACACATCCTCATGGTTCCATCCTTATTTCACATATAGTGGGGATTTTTTGTTTGGGAGCTTGTGTAGACATTTGCTAGTAAAGCATAGGGTGTCTTGGGGGTTGCGTTGGTTACGTCCATTACAGATCTCACTACATCGTCTCCCAGTCTAAGATTGTTATAATCCTCGTGGCTCTTGCATGCTCCGAGAAGGCACGTCCACTCGAGAGCACTGGGAACGAACGGCATGCTTAAGATTAGATCTTTGGCATCGTGAAGGTGGCTGGCTCGGCTCAAGAGATCTACCATGCAACTGTAGTGCTGCCTTGTGGGCTCAATGGCGTGATCCACAACCATGGAAGCGAAGAAGCTCTTTCCCGCTTGAAAGCTGTGATGTGTTTGGGGAATCGACGGCCTGCATTTCGTTGAAGAGATGAAAGGCCTTGCTGGCAGTGGTGCTTACTCGTGCATATGAAGCTATCATGGAGCTCCACAAGATTTGGTCTCTGTCAGGGGATGTATCAAAAAGTTTCCTTGCATATACAATATGGCCTTCTTGGAAAAATGCAGATGTCAAGGTCACAACGTTGCGTTCTAGCATGCTATGAAAGAGTAAAGCAGCTTCACGTAGTTTGCTAGTTAGAACAAACGCATTTAACATTGTGTTCCACGAAACCATATCCATTTCGGGCATCTTGTTAAAGAGTCTTAAACCAAAGTCACAATGCCCTCATTGGGCATACGCCGAAAGAACAGAGTTCCAAGAGCACAGATCCCGCTGCGGAATTTGATCAAAGGTGGCCTTCACAAGCTCCAAGTCTGAGGGTTGTGAGAGAAACATTATCATACAGGAAGTAAGATCAAGCTCCAGCATTTGATAGAAAAAGCTCTTGGTTTCCTCCCCGGGGCTGTTCTTGGCAAGAACAGCGAGCATTGTTGTCCACGACGAGAGAGCTCTCTGCGGCATGGAGTCAAATATAAGCTTTGATTGTCTAGCATCACGGCAGCATCGCATCACGGTGTTGCACGAAACGAGATCTATCTCAGGCATCTCGCGGAAAATCCTCTGTGCCGAATCGACATCCTCGTTCAGTGCGTATGCGCCGAGCATCGCGGTCCAGGCAACGAGATCGTGCTGCGGCATTGCATCAAACAAAAGCTTTGCTCCGTGCAAATCTCCGCCCTGCGACAAGGCAACCAAGATTGTCGTCCATGACACAAGGTCACGAGCCTCCATAGAATCAAAAACACGTTCGACTCCCTCTACATGCCCGTTCCGGGCATATGCCGCAAGAATGGAATTCCACGACACGAGATCATACTCGGGCATCCCAGAGATAGTCCTCTCGGCACTTTGTAGATCCCAGCTTGTGTGTGGACTGACAAGATTGCATTCCATGAGAGAAGGCTGTGTTGCGGCATCTCATCAAATGTTTTAGAATATGCCCACTCCGGGCATATGCCAAGAGCATGGATGTCCATGCAAGGACATCTTTTTGCGGTATTTTTTCGAAGATCTCTTTTGCATGTTTAAGATGGGAGTTCTGGGTGTAAGCTCGAAACATGAAAGCCCACGAAAAGGAGTCTTTGTGTTTGATGTTGTATCAAAGATTTGGCGTGCCTCTTGTGGGCTTCCATAAACATCTCAATGAGTTTGTTGCTGAGGAAGGAATCATCAGCAAGTGGATGATTCCTTTTAAGATTCAAGTAAATCTCACTTGCTTCATAAAGGCTTTTGCAGGATTGAATGAAATGAATGTTACACTTTCTGTTCATAGTCCAACCCAAAACATTGTTGTGATTAAATAATATTTAATGATAATATTAAAAACTCATTATGAGAAGAATAAGTTTTTTGTAACAATGTGTAGTTTGTTAATAATGGTATTATTTCTATTTAGTATTTTTTATTAACCTAATTGATTAATCCGAATTAAAAGTAGAATAATCTAGAATATACTAAAAAGTGTTTAAATACAAACTTAATCTAATTGCTAGATGGTAGAATATCTTAAAATATCAAAGTTACATTATACCATTAACACAACTAGGTCATGGGATATATTGAAATGGGGTACAAAGCAACTAGAGGTAGAGGGTGATGTGTCTCTTACTCCAACACCCTCTTTATTGTAATTGGCTTGTTTCCCTCATTCTTGGAGATCTTGGTAATCAATTCTTTCTAAAATTAAATACAATCCCAAAACCTTTAACCATTTTTAACTTATTAAACAATGGTATACTTTACCATTTCTCAACCTTAGAGGCACCAAGTATTCCAAGATTTTTAATAAACTGGAAAAAGGTGGTGCACTTTTATTCATAAACATTTTCCCTTTATATTTAATTGTTTCTCAAGTAACTTTTCAAGATTCTTTTGAGAGGCCCATTCTCTTTCTAGATGTTAATCAAATATATAGTATGATTCCTTTATCTAGTTTAGAGTTCTTAAAAGTTCATTTAACCCACTACTATTCAAACCCAAGGATATTTAACTTTAAATATCTCTCTTAACTAATTGAAAAATGAGGTGTAATAAATTCTTTCCTTTTATATTTAAACCCTTATACAAATTATTCTCTTTAGTTGTTTACAATCTACAAATAAGTTAAAAAATTTATGCAACTAACATGGTTAGATTGTTCTAAGAATTATAAACTTGTTTGAACATAATATTTTTTTGGATTAGTTTCAATAGCTTTTGTAATTTGGTGGAAACAAAGTGAAAATCCAAAAATTTATAGTACAAGAATCAAAAGAACCCAAAAACTTCTTTAAGTGATGGTAAGTTATCTCTATAGCCATATTAAACACTAATAACCCCTAAGTGGCAGCTTAAACAAATATAATTATATCATGGTGGGAAAAGAAGATGTAGATATAGACAAGAGGATAGAAGTTTTGTATTACATCAAGTAGTATATTTTTAATTTTTTTTCTCTACATTTCAGTTAACTTTAGAGGTTTTGTCTATGTTTAAGATATAGTATTAAATACTGATTACAAACGAATTTTATGAGGGAAATTAAGGTAGATTCTAAAATATACCTGAATATTTATAATATATTCCTTTCACCTTAATAAAAATATAAATTACCACCTACATTCAAACAAGCACCAAGAGACATGACGAAGGTGGCACTGTTGGCCATTCTCTCGGTGGTGTGCACTTTCTTCTCTGGTTTCCAATCCGTTGCAATTTGTTCTTGGCTTCAACCATTTTTCCTCCTGCATTTCTTCCACAAATCAGGGATTTCGCGCAATCCTTGCTCATGGCGCTCACAATTCTCCTGGCGCTCATCCTCCACACCACCGCCGCGAGCCTGGTGTTCCTGGCATTCTTCCTGGGAAAGGTGAGCTCGGACAACTCCACCGCCAGCAGCGTGCCAATTGTGGGAATAATCTGGGCACTGGTGCTGTGGATGTTTCTTCTCCCGTTTCTTGCAAGCATCGGCTACAGGAAGCGTTTTGTGTTAGAGCCACGTGGCGTACAGCCACCTGGCTTGAGTCGCATTTCTTCAGTTTAGGGCTTTCTTAGTTTTCTTTCCCATCCTGTGTGAGATCCATCCCAGGGGATTGTTCTGGGAGTGTTCTCATTCTCTATAGAGTGCTAGGCCGTGAGGCCTGGCTTCTCTCATCATGGTATCAGAGCAATAGGTTAGATTTTTTTGGCACGAGCAGTGCCATAGATGCTAGGACAGGATGGCGTCGTCTTCTTCCTCCAGAGACATGGAGCAGTTTGATGGGACGAATTTCCTTGCCTGGAAAGAACATGCTCAGTTCTGGTTCATGAGGTGGGGATTGTGGCCTGTAGTATCTGGATCAAGAAAATGTCTGTCCAAGGACGATGATGATACAGATCCATACAATGAGTGGAAAGATCTGGATGCTAGGGCAAATGGAGCATTAGGAGGTGGACTTGGCCCTCTCTACAGTGTCCACGTGAATGTGGAGAAGAGTTCTGCTGAGAATTGGAAGTCAATTTGTGAAATTATGGGAGTGGACCTGCAAGAAGACGTGGACGTGATTCTTCATCGCAGTGAGTTATACAGCCTGGAGCAGCAACCACACGAGCGCGTGCAAGACTACATCACAAGACTTCAGCGCAAAGTGGTGGAGATTCGATTGCTGGACCCAGAAGCTACTGTGACAGATCAAGAGTTTAATGCAGTTCTGTTCAAGGGGCTTACAACTCGTGCTATGAAGTCTTATCTTCGTTATATCAAGAAGATTCCCGACATTACACAGCGGCAGATTTTTGCTGAGCTTGTTCAGCACGAGAAAACCGTTATAGGTGAAGGCAATGCTGCTGAGCAGGACGGGATTGCCATGGTGACTCGTGGTAATCAGCACGGACAAGCAGGGCGCTCCTCTATCTTTAATCGACTTGGAAATAAGCGCTCCAACAGCACCGAGGAAAAGCCAGCCACCAAGCAAGAATTCAATTTGAAGTGTGGGACGTGTTCAAAGCGTGGGCACCTGAGCAGGGATTGTCCAGTGAAGAAGCAACGTCGTGAGACAAAATTGAAAGCTGAGCGTGGATCTTCCTCTAGTGCGGCACCACGTTTTAAAAGTCGACGCCGAGATGAAGGTGATGATGAAGACTCTTCCGCTGCAGCCAATGGCTTGTCATGGATGACTCGAGGAGTAGAGGTGGATACCACAAGCCGTGTTCTTTGGCTGGATTCGGCAGCAACGAATCACTCAACTTTTGACCGTGAGCTATTTTTGGAGATGAGGAAATGCACTGGCCAAGTGCGACTCACAGATAACAGCTTGTTAGCGGTTGAAGGTGTGGGCACGATTGAAGTGCGTCTACCGACAGGCTTGGTGGTTCCAGTCAAGCATGTGTGGTACATCCCCAAGGCTCAACATTCCTTGGTGTCCCTTGGACAAATGATGGAGCAAGGATTCAACTTGGAGTTTTGTGGTGATCGTGTTAAGATCACACATCCAGAGGTTGGACATGTGGCTTCAGCAAGCAAGATAGGACGACTGTTCCGGATGGATTGCGAGGTTTGTGTTCCAGGGAAGCTGCTAGCTACGATGACAGTGGCTACTGCGAGTTCATCTTCAGGGGGAGCTGCAGATATCCAAACTTGGCATCGTCGACTTGGCCACGTGAATCACAAGACGATCCAGCAGTTGCAGCGAGACCACGTGGTTGATGGCTTGGCCATCACGTCTTTTTCAATGCCATTATGTGAGCCATGCATCATGGGAAAGCAGCATCGTCGGGCGTTCAACTCTGGCGGGAGTGTTCGGGCGACAAGTCCTCTTCAGCTGGTTCACTCAGACTTATGTGGCCCTTTTCAAGTGATGACACAGCGTAAGAAGAGGTACTTTATTTCGTTTATTGATGATGCTACGAGGTATGTGGCTGTTAAGTTCTTAGCTACTAAGGACGAAGCTTTGCTAGCATTTAAGGCTTATAAGCATGAAGTGGAGAACCAGCTCGATTTACGCATCAAAGTGCTCCGCTCTGATGGAGGAGGTGAGTACGTGTCCGTCAATTTTTCTGATTACTGCGAGAAAGCAGGAATTCAGCGGCAATTCACAGTTCCATACACTCCTGAGCTTAACGGGGTAGCTGAGCGGTTTAACAGGACAGTGGTGGAGCTGGCTAGGACGATGATTGCCGATGCTGGTCTTCCGCCTAGGTTTTGGGATCATGCTATAGCCACAGCTGTCTTCGTGCGTAATAGGGTGTTGACCACCGCTGTTAAATCCAAGAAGTGTATATTTCTGGGCTATAGTGATGAGCAGCGAGGATATCGACTCCTTCATCTAGACTCGGGAAAAGAGTTTGTGAGTCGAGATGTCATCTTTGATGAATCTCGTGTGTATTTTCAACGTCACAAGGATCCAGGAGTTCCTTCTACAGGTTTTCTTAGTGGAGACAGTAGGGCGAGCTCACAGCCTGTTTTCTTTCATCCATGGGAAGATGAGGAGGATAATCCTCTACCTCGACTTGGCTGTGCTTATGCTCCAGCTGCAGGGGGAGCTTCAACCTCTGCTGTGACACGAGCTCCAGAGCCTGATCACGTTCCTGAGGTGGTTCCTGATCCTGAGCCCGAGCACAATATTCCTGAACCTGAGGATATGGTTCCTGAACCTGTGCGTCACCGAGATCCTGATGTTATCCAGGTTTTGAGCCGCTCTGGTCGCCCTTTAACCTATACAGCGAAGGGTGAAGCTTATCAGCGAGAGCAAGCTGAGAAGCGAGCACGAGTAGCCGTTAGAGCTTCTTATCATCAGAGTCGAACGGCTATGTTCACAGCAGCAGAGGTGAAGATTCCTGTTACGCTTGCACAAGCTAAGAAATCTCCTTATGCTGCTGCGTGGGGTGAAGCTATTGATGCTGAGATGCGAGCTCATGCAAAGAATGAAACCTGGTATCTTCCTGATGAAGTTCCTCACAATGCTAATGTAGTTTCGACAAAGCTACTTTTCTGCGTGAAAGCTGGACCTTCAGGAGAAGTGCAGCGCTTTAAAGCTAGGCTTGTGGCACGAGGCTTTACTCAGATCGAAGGCATAGACTTTACAGAAACTTTCAGCCCGGTCGTGAAGATGGCTTCTATCAGGCTGTTACTTGCTTTAGCAGCACAGCATGATCTTTATGTGGAGCAAGTGGATGTGAAGACCGCATTTTTACATGGAGAAATTCCTGAGGAGGTTTACATCCAGCTCCCGACAGGCCTCGATCCGAGCCAAAGGATTTATCGGCTGAAGAAGGCTTTATATGGCCTGAAACAAAGTCCACGTATCTGGTATAAGAAAATCGATTCTTTTCTGATTTCTCTTGGATTCCAGAAAAACCATGCCGACTCAAACGTTTATATGAAGATTGAGGATGGTGCCTTGGTCATTTTGGCCTTGTATGTGGACGATGGTATCTTTGTTTCCAACAACAGAGATCTTCTTGCTGAAATCAAGAGAAAGCTAGGAGCCCAGTTTGAGATGCAAGATCTTGGCCCCGTGCACACTTTCCTTGGGATTCAAGTTCAGCGACCACGGCCAGGAGTTGTGACACTCTCACAACGAGCTTATGTGGAGGACGTATTGCGCAGGTTTGGGCTCGAGAACCTCAACCCTTCCGTTACTCCAATGCAAGCGAGTACTCATTTGTCTGCTGAGATGTCTCCTAGTGAGGCTGAGAAGCAACAGATGGAGCTTGTGCCATATCGCCAGGTCGTTGGATGCTTAATCTACTTGGCTGTTTGTACCCGCCCAGACATTGCTTATTCTGTGGGAGAGGTGGCTAAGTATATGGCGAATCCAGGCTGGCAACATTGGCAAGCTGTGAAGCGCATCTTGCGCTATCTCAGAGGCACTGCTAATTTTGGCCTGAGCTATCAACGGCAGGTTTCTGGTCACGCATTTATTTTGCGAGGCTATGCCGATGCAAATTATGCAGGGGATTTAGACGACAGGAAGTCTACATCCGGCTATTGCTTTTTCCTTGGTGATGGAGTGGTAACTTGGAGCAGCAAGCGGCAAGCTGTGACAGCCTTGTCGACAACTGAAGCGGAGTATCTAGCTTTGACAGGGGCAGCACAAGAGGCGAGCTGGCTTCGTGAGCTTGTAGCGAGTATGCAGCTACGGCAACAAGGACCCACGGTCATTCTCTCGGATAATCAATTGGCGATTGCTCTTTCAGAGAATCCGAGATATCACGCCAGGACGAAGCATATACAAATAAAATACCACTACATCAGAGAACAAGTGATGGGAGGAGAGCTGATACTTAAGTACGTGGCAACTGAGGACCAGGTTGCTGATATATTCACTAAGGCTCTTCCACCTATTGTTTTCTGCAAACATCGAGAAGTGCTTGGAGTATGCGACCTGTCCTCGCAGGGCTCCGGCTAGGTGGGCGGCAATGGTCACGCTGGTGATAAAGATCCAGGTGTCCATTGAGGGGGAGTGTTAGAGCCACGTGGCGTACAGCCACCTGGCTTGAGTCGCATTCCTTCAGTTTAGGGCTTTCTTAGTTTTCTTTCCCATCCTGTGTGAGATCCATCCCAGGGGATTGTTCTGGGAGTGTTCTCATTCTCTATAGAGTGCTAGGCCATGAGGCCTGGCTTCTCTCATCATTTTGATCGAGCAAGAACGTCCCAGCCGCTGGTATTCGCGTCGGTCTGGACCACGGCGTGGTTGTTGTGGAATCGATTCGGTGGTGTCGGCTCCTTCCTCCATCCTGCCGTTTCCCAGGTTACAATCTTGCCGCTGGTGATGAGCGCCGGCGTGTGGGGGATCGATGGGATCGCATTCCTCATGGCGTGGTTCTCGGCAATTCTCCATGACAGGACCGTTCTCGACGAGAATCTTTCCAAGATGGAAAAATCCGACAAGAAGCGTTCTATGCTGCAGCGTTTGGGGCCATTGCTCTCTCAATCTTGTTCTACGGAAGCGCCAGGGTCTCGATCTTCTCGGGCGATTTCTTCCAGAAGGACATCGCCCTCACGATGAAGAAAACAGTGCCGGTCTCTTGCGTCCTGGGCAAGCTCCTCTTCTACGAGGACATGGATGTGATGCTCAACAAGACGAACCAGCGCCTCCGAGCCGGCGATCGATTGGTCCTCTGGTCCGAGGCTGCGGTGAAACTCGACCTCAAACAGGAGAGGGATTCTCTCCAACTCAAAGCCGGACAGATCGCTTCCCAGCACGGCGGCTACGTTGGCATCACTTACGAGTACAAGGACGCGAGTACTGGAAGAGTCGGGAACTATTTCGACCTCGTTCTTCCCGATGGCTCCATTGGATTTACCTACAGGAAATCCCACTTGGTTCCATTCGTGGAGTGGTATGGAACTCCAGGGGATCCCATTCTTCCTATCATCAAGACCGAGCTCGGCCGGATTGGAGGAGCTATTTGTTACAATTTCGAGTTCCCAGACCTGATGCACCAGGCCGGGAAAAAGAGGTAGAGCGCAGTTATGATGGTGTTCTCTAAGTTTCTGGTGAATGTTTTTAGGATTGATATCATGCTCCAGCCAGCCGCGACTTGGGGACCAACTGGTCCCCAGGTGAAAGAGGCCGATGCTTTTCGTGTTGTGGAGAATGGCTTTAGTTGATTTCGATGCTCCACGGGAGGTGTTTCAGCGGTTGTAGATCCATATCTCCAGACATTCGATTACAGGTGTGACAGTTTTGATCAATCAAAGCTCTCTAATATTCTTCTGTTTCTTTGGCAGGGAAGGTATCTCCGACTCAGTCTTCGCCATGGGACTCCCAGTACTCGGGAAGGCCTGGACGCTTTACCCAAGCTACGGCTTTCTTTTCGCTTGGCTAGTGGCAGCACTCGCTGCAGTACACGTCTCCATGCTCTGCCTCCCTTGTCAGCTGCTCAAGGGAGAACATCCATATCCTGTCCTCCGCTGTATATGATTTTTACATCCAACTGGAAGAAACAAAAAAGAAAAAGGATTAGATCACAAAAGCTTCGAACGATCCTCTAAAAACTTGCCTCACACTCGATCAATCTCTTCAACAGTGTCTCCACAACCTGAGGAGCCTCCGCTCTGCAGTGACATACATCCTTGACAAGTCCCCTCCTGCCTTTGTGTTCTACATCACTGGTGACCGATCCTTCAAGGAGTTTGAGAGGTCGGAGCTACATTGCGTGCTGTTGTCAGAGGAATCAAATGCGCTTGTCTAAGATTCCTGTGAAGCCCAATCTGTAAGGAAGTGTGTACAAATCATGGGTGATATGGACGTAGCACTTGCATTGACTTAATTGTCGTTTGGTGCAACGATTTGGAGGAGTTCCAAGGCGTTGGATTGAGTCGGCTGGAGTGTCGATTGCAAAGAAGGCAGCCCCACGCTGCCATGACGAGGGCATCGCGTTCCATCTCCATCGCTCCGGCGTGTGAGCATCGTGGGGCAAAGGAATATTTGCTTTGTTAGTACCTATCATCTTATTAAACAAACATTGATCGTTTTCTAGTTTTCCATGAAGAATTTTGAGAACATTCGCATAGAATCAAACACATTCCCTCAGGCAGATCATCAAACACAATTTTCGCCTGCTGCACTTTCCACACACCTCAATCGCTAGGTATTGCAAGGTATCTGTCTGATTGAAGTTGCTTGCGATCTCTCAGAGCCTCTGGTGATTTCGTCCAGGAGGTCCACGCTCAGATCCTGGGAATGTTGGGTGTTATATAGACAAATGATTTGTTTTTTTCCCAATACGACAGATTGCTAGGGACAAGAAAGTGAGGTATGATCAATGATAAACAAAGGCTAGAGGGTCAGAAACTCTATTTAGCATCCCAATGCTAAGACCAACACACAAAATAGAGCTAAATGGAGTTTGGTGCTATGAAGTATTAATGCTTCATGGGAACATCAAGAATCCAGTCGCATGAAATGTAATTGGTACTTCTAGTCTTAAATTCTCGAGCAATTTGACAACATAATCCAGGCAGCAGGCGAGGGCGCCCGCCAAAGGAGAACCCGACGCGAATCATAAGAAAACAGGAGGCAAGAGAGAGCTAGAAGAATCAAAGCTTTTACTCGAGAGAAGACAAGAGAAGAGCGCTCAAAACGTTGTATTGTAAGTGGATGTTTCCCTTTTTTTGGATTTTACTTGAATCACTATAATACCTGAAGTACATAGAATTGCTGAATAGATTCTACGAGATTCTACTTACTAGTTCCAAAACAGTGCTAAGATCGTGGCCAGCTCAATCCTTGGCTGTAAAAAAACAAACAAGTTCAATACAAACAAATTGTACGTATTATTTGCGGAAGTTATGGAAAACCCAGGAATATGTGTATTTACAAACATTCATATGCATGGCTATTTCTCATAGAGAGTATTTAGCAGCCTCCACCGCCGCCACCTCCTCCGCAGCCACCACCACCACCGCCGCCGCCACCGCCACCACAGCCTCCGCCGCCAGTGCCAGCACCACTGCCGGCATCCCCAATGAAGGCGCCCGTTGCTGCAGACGGGCGCCTTCGCCTCTGCTTTCACCTGTTAGAGGATTGAGGGAAACCGAAACACATCTTGGATTGCGCAAGATAAAGGTATGATCGATGCGAGGAGGCTTGTGCTTATACACTAGGCAGGAGAACATCTGATTGGCCACAAGGTCTGACCATATGGAGCAACTTCCTTCACGCACAATTTGACGAGATTTTATGCACGTATTCCTCAAAGATTGGATAGACAACTGCAACTTTGTAGTGTTACGTCTTGCGTTTCTTGAACACTCTGATGAAGTGTCACGACGTGGCACTGATTACATAAACTTCTCCAGGTCCACGCGCTATCATTGCTTTCTTCGTGGCTTCCTCTGAGTCAAAGTCTCAAATTGCCTTCTAGCCTTGTATACAAGCAGAAGATTATGCCCCCTTGCAAGCAATCAATCCAAAATGTGTTTCAGTTTCGTTGCATCTCCAAAAAGGCGAAAGCCAAGAAGGCGCTCCGATTTCGTGGGAGCAATGTTTAGCGGTGGCCACCATGGTGGAGGCCACAGTGGAGGCTCTGGGGGTGACCACGGTGGAGGCCACGGTGGAGGAGGCTGTGGTGGTGGCGGAGGCTGTGGCGGTGGGGGCTGTGGCGGAGGTGATTAAAATGACTTCATGTGTACAGGAGAGAGTAAGTCCTTAGATTTCACATATAGCGTGGATTTTTTGTTTGGGAGCTTGTGTAGACGTTTGCTAGTAAAGCATAGGGTGTCTTGGGGGTTGCGTCAGTTACGCCCATTACAGATCTCACTACATGGTTTCCCAGTCTAAGATTGTTATAATCCTCGTGGCTCTTGCATGCTCCGAGAAGGCACGTCCACTCGAGAGCACTGGGAACGAACGGCATGCTTAAGATTAGATCTTTGGCGTCGTGAAGGTGGCCGGCTCGGCTCAAGAGATCTACCATGCAACTGTAGTGCTGCCTTGTGGGCTCAATGGCGTGATCCACAACCATGGAAGCGAAGAAGCTCTTTCCCGCTTGAAAGCTGCCTTTGTGGCTGTTTGCGGCCAGGATGGATGCGAAGCACGATGTGTTTGGGGAATCGACGGCCTGCATTTCGTTGAAGAGATGAAAGGCCTTGCTGGCAGTGGTGCTTACTTGTGCATATGAAGCTATCATGGAGCTCCACAAGATTTGGTCTCTGTCAGGGGCTGTATCAAAAAGTTTCCTTGCGTATACAATATGGCCTTCTCGGGAAAATGCAGATATCAAAGCATCCCAGCTCACAACGTTGCGTTCTAGCATGCTATGAAAGAGTAAAGCCGCTTCACGTAGTTTGCTAGTTAGAACAAACGCATTTAACATTGTGTTCCACGAAACCTAAAGAGTCTTAAAGCAAAGTCACAATGCCCTCATTGGGCATACGCCGAAAGAACAGAGTTCCAAGAGCACAGGTCTCGCTGCGGCATTTGATCAAAGGTGGCCTTCACAAGATCGAAGTCTGAGGGTTGTGAGAGCAGCATTATCGTACAGGAAGTAAGATCAAGCTCCGGCATTTGATAGAAAAAGCTCTTGGTTTCCTCCCCGGGGCTGTTCTTGGCAAGAACAGCGAGCATTGTTGTCCACGACAAGAGAGCTCTCTGCGGCATGGAGTCAAATATAAGCTTTGATTGTCTAGCATCACGGCAGCATCGCATCACGGTGTTGCACGAAACGAGATCTATCTCAGGCATCTCGCGGAAAATCCTCTGTGCCGAATCGACATCCTCGTTCAGTGTGTACGCGCCAAGCATCGTGGTCCAGGCGACGAGATCGTGCTGCGGCATTGCATCAAAAAAAAGCTTTGCTCCGTGCAAATCTCCGCCCTGCGACAAGGCAACCAAGATTGTCGTCCATGACACAAGGTCACGAGCCTCCATAGAATCGAAAACACGTTTCGCTCCTCTACATGCCCGTTCCGGGCATATGCTGCAAGAATGGAATTCCACGACACGAGATCATACTCGGGCATCCCAGAGATAGTCCTCTCGGCAGTTTTTAGATCCCAGCTGTGTGCGTGGACTGACAAGATTGCATTCCATGAGAGAAGGCTGTGTTGCGGCATCTCATCAAATGTTTTAGAATATGCCCACTCCGGGCATATGCCAAGAGCATGGATGTCCATGCAAGGACATCCTTTTGCGGCATTTTGTCGAAGATCTCTTTTGCATGTTTAAGATGGGAGTTTTGGGCGTAAGCTCGAAACATGAAAGCCCACGAAAACGAATCTTTGTGATTGATGGTATCAAAGATTTGGCGTGCCTCTTGTGGGCTTCCATAAACATCTCGATGAGTTTGTTGCTGAGGAAGGAATCATTAGCAAGTGGATGATTCCTTTTAAGATTCAAGTAAACTTCACTTGCTTCATAAAGGCTTTTGCAGGATTGAATAAAATGAATGTTACACTTTCTGTTCATAGTCCAACCCAGATTAAATAATATTTAATGATAATATTAAAAACTCATTATGAGAAGAACAAATAATGGTTTTATTTCTGTTTAGTATTATTTATTAACCTAACTGATTAATCCGAATTAAAAGTAGAATAATCTAGAATATACTAAAAGGTGTTTAAATACAAAATTAATCTAATCGCTAGATGGTAAAATATCTTAAAATATCAAAGTTACCTTAAACCATTAACACAACTAAGTCATGGGATATATTGAAATGGGGTACAAAGCAACTAGAGGTAGAGGGTGATGTGTCTCTTACTCCAACACCCTCTTTATTGTAATTGGCTTGTTTCCCTCATTCTTGGAGATTTTGGTGATCAATTCTTTCTAAAATTAAATACAATCCCAAAACCTTTAACCAATTTTAACTGATTAAACAATGGGTGTTTTATTCATGGCCTGTTCCCCACATACTTTATCATTTCTCAACCTTAGAGGCACCAAGTATTCCAAGATTTTTAATAAACTGGAAAAAGGTGGTGCACTTTTATTCATAAACATTTTCCCTTTATATTTAATTGTTTCTCAAGTAACTTTTCAAGATTCTTTTGAGAGGCCCATTCTCTTTCTAGATGTTAATCAAATATATAGTATGATTCCTTTATCTAGTTTAGAGT